GAGTCTTTTTATTGATCCAGCGTATTCGTATCTTCTCTCTCTCTTCATGCACAGTCTTCGGCATAATCCAGTCCACCATGATTGGGAATCTCATCATCGGCGATAGCAAGCAGCCTTACCCTATTATTCTTGCATTCACTTCAAAACACCTCACTGAGTTTTCCGTTGAGGATCACTTGACACATGGGAGTGTCACATTGCTTTTGAAAGAGGTTGACAAAGATAAAGTAGTTTTCTAACTGCTTCATCGTCAACGCTGTCGAAGGTATTTCCAAAATTGATGGAATTGAGGTAGAACTTAGACTATCATTCCATGCTTTGTTCAGCAATGACGTGTGTGTATGTTTTCCTGCATGGTTACAGAAAGCCAATAGTGGCTCTATAAAATGTTAGTGCGCCAATCGAACATCTTGTCAACACTGGTCACTGGTCACCATCTCAACAAACGCCTCCTGCTTCAAAGTAATCTACAAAGTGAAGAACAACCTGCCAAAGACAGGCAATACTCTGTCGTCTCCTTTGTATTGGTGAAGCCTTAACCATTTAGTTGGGAAAACTAGAATTATGCATACAAACGAAAATTATTCAACCACTTCTATTATCATGGTAACAAACATTGTTGGTTCCTGCTGACTTGAGTTTTGTTTGTTTGTCTTTCTAACTCCTCCTAACTCTTGTACTTCTTTAGAAATCGTACTTATAACTCCAGATGTCGCTTTGTTTCTATGGGCATCCTAGCCACAACTCACCCATTAAACTATTCATCTAATTACGCAACTCTAATACGCTTATTCAACCTCTTTTATGCATTGACTAACATTAAAAAGCATGTTTGTGAGTAACTCATCACTTTTGTTACTACCCTGTTTAGTGAAAAGGAGATTGCACATAAGTGTGATTGTACAGCTACTGAAGGAAATAAATCCACCGCCCAAAAAAGAGCCTCTTCGCTAAATTACATATTTTGGTTTCATCAGTAATGTTTGGATGGGGATTACTCATGAATTGATACTACAATGGTCTCTGTATTATTGTTAGACGGTTGGCGGTTATCAGTAGGATGCCTTGAACCTAGATTTCTCAGAAGGAGAACATGAGTTCCTTCATGACTGCAGATACGCCTGGCTAACTGGTGAGTGCCAACAATTAAGAAACTTAGATCCTGTCAAAGCTTCCCGGCGTTTGCCTCCAATCACATTTAACATCAGTTCAGAGTACACCGTGATGCCGAGCCACCAAGCATGGCGAACAGACTGCCAACTTGACTGATAGAATTTAGTCTAGATACGATAGAGAAGATTTGTAGCTCAGGTGGATGATGTTCAATGTGATTGGTTGTTTTCGAACACTTCCTTATTTAGATAAAGCGATAAGAAGACGTAATTTGTGTGAATCCTGTAATATTGTATTTGCGCAACACATTTCGAACAATCTGATCACACACGGACTTGTCATAAGAATATATGTGAAATCAAGAAAGTGTTAAGAGGTGAGAAAATAGACTTAGGTCAAGTTAAAAGGACATATTAGAGGTGAAAATAACAATGAAGACCAATAAACCAAATAGCAGAGCTAATAGTGCATTTGCTACGGTATCAAAACGAAGTTTACCAAGGAAGGTAGGTTTAGTGTGATGACGAATTGTTGCTTTGAACGCATAAAGGTGGTTTAAACTTTCTAATTGCCAACTAGAGCTTCCACAAACTTTAGGATATGGCCGAAACACGTTTTATATTATTATTATTGCTCCCTTGGGTTCCTAGTAGAACATAGGGCTTCAACTGCACGTCCCCACTTGCCACTTCTGTCTTCTGTTGTACTTTTCACCCGCATCCATGTTAGTTAGTCCATACTGTTTCAACTTCTCCTCTTCACACCATCTCCCCCATATCACCCTTGCACTGACGTCCCACTCGCCGCTTCCCTTTCGGCCTGGTTCCACTCGAGAAATGGCCTGACGCGCGCACAATGTCACCCAGCGGCCCGGCCTCCTCAGCGAGTGAGTGTCTAATCCATCTCCACTTTCTCCTGCATATTTGTTGGGCGAGCGATTGGTTCTTGTTTTGTTTGTTCCCGTAGTTACTTGTTGGTGATTCTTTCCGGCCCGGTCATCTGATCTTCAGTATAGAGAGAGCGAAGACAGTTGTTGATAAAGATAACGTCTGCAACAGGCTGTTAGAAACATTCTTTGTGACCCACCCGCCAAGTTTCAGGTTGATGAATGTCTTTCTCGCCCACCGCCCGATTCTCGCTCGATTTGACATCCTCGCCCGTTTCTCCTGTAGTCGAGACAATGCTCCCTAGATGATAAGTGAGTGAAGTAACCTCTTTGAAATCTCTCCCGTTGATGGTGGGTGACTGGCGCTGGATGTTGCTGTTGTTGTTGCTCTTGTTGGTTGGTTGGCTACTTTCATAACCTCCGTCTTGTCTATGTTCACAAACATGTTTTATAGAAAGGTTTAAAATATGTGTCAACGTCAATTTTGTGTTCTGTCTCTATAATATACTTCGCAATAGAGCAAGGAGCTAGGCCTCCTTTTCCTACCATTATTAAGTTCTGGGGATTCTACTTGCTTCTGGAGCCATTTAGGAATATGCTATGAAGCCAACCATCATATGCAGAGATCGATGAGTCCTCTCTATGTGTGTGTGTCCACACGTACATTCAAACTGGTAAATACAGTGGGATGTGACATCATTTTTCTCAAGTTCACAGGGCTTAGATGGATTGATATATTGGCTTCACATTGTGAATTATTATGATATTGGCTGCATTAAAAGTCTTTTTAACAGCGGTGTTCAATCTTTGTCTAGTTATCAAGCTGCTGTGATGCTCCATATGGAGTAGCTTGATGTAGACGTCTTTCTTAGGGACGAGTTGTAGAGCGGGTCTTGGTGTTCCACTGACTACCTTATATCTCCTGATGAACTTCTTGTCTGGATAATTCTTATCAACCAGAGTTTGTGTCAACTTTCTTTCTTCCTCATCATCAAGTGTGTCTGTCTTTAGTGTATACTCGTTGGATTCTACTGAAGAGGCACCTCGCTCACTAAGGCTGTTTTGTACGGAACAGGGTGGAAACTGTGATAATTAAGGTACTGTCCAATCCAGGTAGGTTTTCTAAAAAGAAATCTTTTTATTGACCCATCAAGCCTTATTTATTGTGTTAATTTTTATTCGTATTGATCATTTCTTCGAAATTATATCTGACCCTTTTATCATGTGAATGGTTCTTTAATCGATTGATAAGATCGATTTATTTTCAAGTGTTAGTTCGTAAATCATTGATTGGTCACGAGTTCGGTCATAATCTGACATCAATTAGAGAATCATTTGATAGCTGAGGAGTACTGGGTAACTATTTATTCCTAGTTTGAGGACTCTTTAGCAGTATTCACCCACCAGGATTCGAACGCAAGACATTCCGACTACAAGGCGAGCTCATCGATCATCTAGCCATTGGGACTCGAACCAACTAACACAGAATATAGCGAAAATATTCATTTAGACATCTATAAAACACAAAATAATCGAACAAAGAATATCCCCCTTTCGAAAAATTTCTCTTCTGTCTCTACAATTATATGTGTATATCCTTATATACATAGAATATTCTAGATTAGTAGTCAGCAACAATATTGGCGTGTTTTTTAAAATAATATCGATTTGTTATGTAAGATCACAATGGAATTACGCTTCATTAAAGATGCTTAAATTATAAGAAAGATAAAAATATAACAGCAAACAGAGTATCAACTAAAATTAGAGAAATTTCCACAAAAGTTGAGGATCATTCGAACCTAGATGGCCAAGGTAATGACAAGGTCTGAACTAACTTCTTTTGGACGCACAAATTAGGCTTCTTCATATGGATTCCAACGGCTTCAGTAAGGCGAAATTGAGATTCGTTGGTATGCGGTAAATGACTCTGAAAGCCACCTCATTGACATCACTCTGGTGTTCTGTATCCACAAGATGGGATAGAATAGCGGTATGCGAGTAGATTTTGTTTGTCCTTTACTTAACCAACCACTATGCAGGGTGATGTTCGAAAATTCTACGAGAAACACACCTAATTGTACAGCCTATGCAACTAACTGGCTCACTCCACAGGAGCAGTTAAATTGGTAGATACACAAAGAAGAGTGGCAAAATTAGGCGGGCAGTTTATCTTTTACTCCCGAACGCAAAATAGAGTTGGGTGATTTTGAAGACACAGTGTAATTCAACAGCAGCAGGGAATGCTCTTTTTACGCATTTCTAAGGCGCTGTGTTAGTGTCTGGCTGATGTTATCCCCAAGGAACTGCATTTGTAAGAATAAGGCCTTCCTTTTTCTTAGAACTGTTGGTAACTTGGGCAGCTTTGATTTTAGATTCATATTCTTATCAATTAACTTTTCTGGATAACCATTTTCACTTACCAACCGTTTAATATTATTAAAAGTTCCTCATCAAGACATTCATATGAGCAGATTCCTCTGACTCTGTGAACCAAGCACTTTATCAGATTGCGTTTGTGTTTCAAGGGTACGAAGCTAAGGAAATGAGCATACTGACAGTCAGTTGATGTAGGTTTTCAATATGCACTTCCTCTTCTTATTGTGCCATCCTCTTTTCTGGTGGTCATAAGGACGTCTAAAAATGAAATACTGGCGTCTTTTTCTTTCTCAATAGTAAAATTTATTGCAGGATGAACCTCGTTAAATTTGTCGACAAGGATGTTCTTTGCTTCCTTCTCATATGACGAAGAAGTCAAATACCAGATCGATAAAAATGATCAATAAAGGCGTAAATTAACAGCCAGTCGCAAAGAAGGTTGTCAGGAGATACAACTATACCATCATTCATGAAGAATTCAATCAAATAAGTTTGCGTTGAAAAAAGATGTCTAAAGGGAGGACAACGAAAGCTTCACAATGTAACTAACAAACAGCTCACAGGAATACCAACCAAATTGAAAATATCAATCACCTGAGTTATTTATGTATCATCAACTTACTAGATAACCTCTCCAATAGGATTGTAATTTGATAGCCGCCTCTTCATCTGACCATTGTAAGCTGAGTGGTAGTGGTTTTCGTGGATTTGTCTCCCATTCTTTTGAAATCCATGGAATGTCGGATAATGTTTGCAGGGCAGTTCTATTGTCTTTAGTATATGTGTTATTTTTGTATAAATATAGGGTTAAAAAGTCCAAACCATTGAATCCAAAACGTTTCTTCTAAAATTTGGAAAAGTTTAGACAAGTCTGAATATATATATATATATATGTTTTAAATGTTTTAAATTTAGACCTATTGCTATTACCTCCGCTTTTCTAAAAGCTATGGAAAAGTTACTCTTACTTAATCTTCAACCTTCACTTAAAGCCTTTAGCGATCCCAAACAATTCGCCCATAAACACAGTAGAAGTACTTAAGATGCAGTTGCAGTCTTGTATCATAACATTGTCTCCATCTTAGACAAGGAGGCTAAATTTGTTCGTTGCACCTTCCTAGATTACACTTCAGCTTTCGACTCAGTACCTAGGGACATTCTGTTAAACAAGCTTGTTGAAACTCAAAATGACTGTTGGGTTGTCAAATGGCTGCATTCTTATTTCTCAGGAAGAAAGTAGTACACTGTATGTCAGGGAAAGTCATCCACTTCTTTGCTTACTGAGGTTGGTGTCCCTCAAGGCGCTATCCTTTCTCCCCTTCTGTTTTCCTTCTTCTTGCATGATTTGCCTCACTCTGATGATGAAATGAACTTTGTTAAGTATACCATTGATCTGACTATTTCAACGTCTGTTAACTCCCAGCTAGACTGTGCTAAGATGAACAGCTTTCTATCAGGAACTAGCAAATGGTCTTCGTGTAACAGCCTTCCTTCCAAATACTAGACTGTTAATTTCAGTTTCCGATGCAAACGAAAGTTAAATGAAGCTGTTGGTTCCTATGACCCTTGCAAAATTGTTGGTAGTGATATAGAAACCAAGTTTGAAGTTAAGTATCTTGGATTAATTCTTTCTTCTCACCTACCCTGGTCTTCCCATGTCTTAGCGATTTCTAAAAGAATATTTCGTCTGACTTTTTACATTAAGCAGTTAAGGTAGTCTGGCATAACTGAACCCATCTTCCTCCTCTTATGGTTTGTCAACCCGTGCATCTTACCTATTCTTCTTTACTGTTCACCCCTGCTTATTATTTCCTGGATTGCTTAAAACAGACTATGTCATACTTCGTAGAAATCTGAAGACTGACTGTCAGTAGGACGAGTGGTATTGCATTGGGCCATATCATTGACATCGTCATTGATAGGCACCTGATTTCATGCAACAAATTTGCTAAAGGAATTTTGTCAGACTCTGAGCATCCACTCTACCCGCAGCTCCAACCTTGTGTCTCCTCCTGAGGTAAAACAAGAAGTCTTATCAGAAGAATTTATACACGTACATCTAAGTATAAAAATTCCACTATATCATATTTAGCACGTACTTTATGTGATGAAAACAGTGTCAGGCATGAACTAACTAACCTTCTTTGCACTACGAAATAAACCATTTCTTCCACCCTTACAGTACCAAAATGTATTGTTATTGTATTTCTTATATTTATAATCCTCTCAATTTTTTGTTTTTATTTATTTTCCGTAAGTGTGAACATCATTTAGGCTGTGTTATAACTGTTAATTTCGTCTTTCGCCTGACCATGCTGCTATATCAACAGAACATTAGATCCAATTATCTATAACATGCTAAATTTCCAAACTGAATCGACAATACTGTTTGAAACAAACTCACTGTTATTATTATTACTGTTATAATATTTAATGATCTCAATTCGTGCTTCGAATATTTTTAATTTTATTTATATTTTAAGTAAATCAAATGCAATATTGTGACAGATGTCGAGAATTCAATTATTTTATTTATTTATTTTATTTTTGATTACAGCTTGATTCCACACCGTATTTTTGGTACAAGTATGGAATTTTCAGCATGGACATCTGTGGTCCAAATTTTGCAGGCCGACCATAGATATCAGGTGTGCGTCGGCGTGGGCTCGAACCCCGGACCATATGCATGGTCGGTGAGAGTCCCAACCACTGTGCCACCGACGCACATTACTATTATAAGTACTGTTTTTGGAATAAAGTAAATTATTATATATATATATATATATATATATATATATATATATATATATATATATATATATATATATATATAATTACATTACTGTCACAAGTTCATAAATTATAATACGTTAACTGGATGATAATAAGTTATCTGTAAGACTGGATGATATCTATATTGATTTCAGATGAGGTTTCATCGATTCGTATAATTAAGGATTACTAAACTTAGTAGAAGTATTTATTTTCAAGAATTAGTTCTTCCTAGGGATTATATTTCTTCTAAGGTAGACGACGGATTGATATCATCTAGAGAACCACTGAAATCCAGGAGCACTGGATAGCTAGCTGTTTCATCAGCCTATTTTGGGATGATATATGTCTGATTTCCCATAAACTGGAAGATATGCAAGTGAAAAGTAACAAGTTGGCAGAAGAAGCATCAAAGATAGGACTTCAAGTGAACATAGATAAAACAGAGGTGATGAAGATTCCTAGCCAACATCAACAGCAACAACAACAACAGACAACAATCAGCATAAGTGGGAAGAACCTGAAAGAAACAGCCTCCTTCACCTACCTGGGAAGCATCGTCTCAACTACAGGCGGAACTAACGAGGATATCAAAGCCAGAATCGGAAAAGCAAGACAAGCTTTCATTACTCTCAAGTCTGTGTGGAGGTCAACAGCACTCAGCATCAAAAACAAGATCCGGATCTTCAACTCCAATGTGAAGTCAGTGCTACTATACGGATCAGAGACTTGGCGAGTCATAAAGAGCATCTCAAACAAACTTCAGACCTTCATTAACAGCTGTCTTCGCTCAATACTCAAGATCAGATGGCCAGAAAAGATCAGCAACAGGGATCTCTGGCAATGAGCGAACCAATCAGGAACCGATTGTGAAACAAATAGGCAGGAAGAAATGGAGATGGATTGGCTGGCCATACGCTGAGGAAACCATCAAGTGACATCACTAGACAAGCCCTCAAGTGGAACCCGAAAGGGAGGCGGCGAGTTGGTCGTCGAAGGGTGAGGGTGACTTGGAGTAGGTCATGCGAGGAGGAGATGAAAGCATGTGGACAGACCTGGAACAGGGTGAAAAAGTTGTCAGAAAACCGAAGTCAATGGAGGTGCGCAGCTGAAGCCCTATGTTCCTCTAGGAACTAAAGGATACAATAATAATATATAAATAATAATTTTGGGACTCGTCATCTGTACGCACCCATCAGACTTCAAACTATTTCTTGAAAATCAATCTGATGTTCGTTAGTGACTGACTGCCATCTGGATGAAGTTGCCATTGGAGTGATTTCTAGTTAGAAATAGAGACCATTGGGGTTCATTCATGTGGGGAGTGAAGATGACCTTCTCGCCTATGATACTGGTTGGTGATCGCGCTGAAATTTTACAAATTGGTAGGAGTTAGAATTCATGGGCTAGCCAATGAATTGGGTACCAGCGGCTAAATGGAATAGGAAGGTCCTGGGTTCGAAACCCAGTGGGTGCATACTACCGATGAGTCTCATACTAGGCTCACGAGACAGCTGACTGTTCAGTACTCCTTGCTGGTTTTCAATGCTTCTCTAACTGATATCAATCTGTGGTCTGACCTGAAAGAAATATTTATGAAATATCGATTCATTTGGAATGGTCGATTCAGTGACTAACTACTTGGTGACAAAATGTAGAAATCCGAACAAAGGTCCATAAATTCTCTTTACCAAACTTCGAAAATGCAAACATAAACTACAGGAAAGAAATCCAATGAAGCGACAACATGTGCAGATGTTTTTGATGAGGGTTGAAGGGTAACTACATAACCTCATATATATTATAAGAAATATACACATCTGCACCACCGTGAAGGATCATGAAGCATATCACTAGGATTCTGCAGACATTACATTTATGGCATTTTGAGCACACTACTAAACAGTCTACACCAACAGGCAAGGACCGATGTCATCTTTTCATCCAATCAAAGATAACGCTTTTTGCTAACCTAATCGTTCTTCAATAAGATTGCTTGTCAAAGAAATTTGTGATCATGCATGCTTAATACATGTCCTAACCATCTTCATCAATATAGCTGCATATCCCCGTAAACTGACATTCCCGCCTTGCCAATCACTCGTAATCCAAATTCATTATTACGTAATACGCTACTCAATCTTCCTCTGAAGATTGAGTTGAAGACGCCTGTGATCACAAATCGTTAATCATTACACTTTTTTAAAATTTTCAGTCGCCATGTGTTCCATCCGTAGAAAGGAACAGAATGAACGGCTTTAACACTTACTGAATATCATCTATGCACGAGAAGTGACTCAAGTTGGTTAAGACCAATCTATTCTCCTGTAGTACTACTGAAATTATATCAGTAATCAGTTCAGCTGAACTGATAAACTCCCAAAAAGGTATGAGATGGCTAACAGATTCAAAACGTGTTTTTTAAACCAATTGAATCCTGGACAGGACAGTATCTTAATTATCACAGTTTCCACCCTGTTCGGTACAAAACAGCCTTAGTGAGCAAGGTGCCTCTTCAGTAGAATCCAACGAGTATACACTAAAGACAGACACACTTGATGATGAGGGAGAAAGAAAGTTGACACAAACTCTGGTTAATAAGAATTATCCAGACAAGAAGTTCATCAGGAGATATAAAGTAGTCAGTGGAACACCAAGACCCAATCTACAACTCGTCCCTAAAAAGACGTCTACATCAAGCTACTCCATATGGAGCATCATATCAGCTTAATAACTAGACAAAGATTGAACGCCGCTGTTAAACAGACCTTTTATTCACCTGAGATCATAATAATTCACAATGTGAAGCCAATATATTCATCCATCGAAGCCCTTTGAACATGCGAAAAATGATGTCACATCCCCCACTGTATTTACCAGTTTGAATGTACGTGTGGACACACACACATACATAGGGAGCACTTACTCATCGATCTCTGCATATGATGGTTGGCTTCATAGCATATTCCTAAATGGCTCCAGAATCAATCCCCAGAATCCCAGAACCTAATAATAGTGAGAACATGCAATCTTGCTCCTCTATTGAGAAACATATTATACACACAGAACATAAAATTTACGGTTACACGTCTTTCAAGCCTATATGTAAAACGTGTTTTGGGGTTTATCCTAAAGTTTGTAGAAGCCCTTGTTGGCAATTAGAAGGTTTAAACCACCTGTATGCATTCAAAGTAACAATTGGTCATCACACTGAGCCACCTTCCCTGGTAAACTTTGTTTTGATACTAGCCAGAGTAGATGTACTATTACATCTGTTATTTGGTTTAGTGGTCTTTATTGTTATTTAGACCTTCAATGTGTCCTTTTAACCTGACCTCTTAACGATTTATTAATTTCATATATATATCTGTTCCTATGCCGATTCTGCGTGTGATCAGATTGTTCGAAATGTGTTGTGCAAATACATTACACACACGATTCAGACAGACAAATAACGTCTTCTTATTGCCTTATCAAAATTGTTTAGCATTGTCTTACATATGGTGTAGGTGAACCACATGTCAAACTAATCCCTACCCATTACGATATATGATTTGAATAAAATAAACAGTATTTTCGCATTCTTTGATTTTTTGTGTATGATAAAATATATTCATTCGATATGTTCATACTACTGATTTCCATACTATTAAGTAGTTTAAGAGTTTTACGGTCAAAGTATCTTTTTCAAGTATCAACAGGAGATGATTTCAGTTATAGAACCTTTGGAAAACAGAGAGTAATGAATAGCTTGACAACCAAGCTGGACACAAGGAAAAATACTCACCGATGACATTAGCTGACAGTCATCCTATATATATATCGCGAGTTAGCAGAAATTAGAATTGATGCGCCCATGGATTCCGTCCCAGCGGTTGAATGGTCAACGAGCTCGCCTTTTAATCTGAAGGTCTGGAACTTGATCTCTGGTAGGGTCATCGGTGAGTACGGCTAAAGAGTCCCAAACAAGTGTCAAAGAGCTGTCTAGTAGTCTGTGGTTTTCAAGGTTTTTCAGATTGAAGTTGGTTTCAGACCAAACTGTCAGACAACACCTGAAAATATCTTTTTTAATCATGGACAGGACAATATACACACATTTTCACAGCTTCATTCCTCTATAGTACAAAAGAAATTTAGTAGGGACCCTCAGCCACAGCGTTAGAGCTATATTTTTTCAAGAAGTAATTGAAAATGAATTCAGCACTATATATGACACCTTGATTAAAAATATCTATCTATCTATCCCGACAAATTTATCAAGAAACACATGACAAAGAAAGCGGAGAACGACTACTCACTATCTATAAACGAGAAGCCACTTTATACATACGACTGCAATAGAAGGGCGATAGACCAAGTGAAATAATTACGAGGAAATTAAGAAAATCAGTTCGAAGAACTTTTAATGCTGGCGGTGAACTACACATCTTATTCACTACACGACCGATGGTGCTACCTCGACCGAAAGATAAAGTACCTAAACTAGGCTAGCCACTTCGATTTGTATCTACCAATTCAACTGCTCTTGTGATGCAGCGAGTTATATTGGCTGTTGCTCTAGGAGCTTGATTTTTCATGCTCACTCGGGAACATCTCCCAGTATGACTAAGTAAAGGTTAAGTATAAACCATCTACAGTTCGATATTGGACCAGCTGATCCAAACTGCCCGGCCACAAAGCCATCCAGCGTTGAAGAATCCTTCTCTATCACCATCTACCGGGTACCAAATAAATTGCCAAAAACATCGAGCTACCGTATGCTCCAAACAGCTGAGGCTGTCATAATTCGCCTCAAACAACCAGTGCCCTGTGTTCAAAAGAAGCAAGTCCAACCAGCCACTACTACTGCCCTGGCTGGCCTTCAGTAGAGACTATAAATTCATGAATTTGTAATATTATCTTTCCTAATTTTTCTGACATTCCGTGTATTGTTGTGTTGATGCTACTGAGCTGTAATCTATCAATATTATTGATTCGATGTTATTTAAACAGCAACATTAATGTTGTTGTTCATAACACTAATTCATTCATTCACTATAATGGATGGATATATAAGTGTAGAACCTGATGAAGAGCAGGTAATCGAAAATGGGAAATATTCTTTGTTCAGTAACCATTCCTTCTAAATCACTGTATTGTCAACGAAGACTTTCATTAGAAGAAGAAGAAGAAGAAGTTATTTACCTCAAAACAACGTGATTCTTGAGCTTTTTTAAGCATTTCTTCCATAGCTGGTAGGAGACAGGGGAATATAAAATGTGTTAGATATTCGCTTGCACGGCCTAAAAACGAAGAAGACAGAAAGTAATGTTATAACGTTATAAATCAACATGGAAATTTTATTCTTAAATTAGATTTCCGGTTTAATGGCTAAAGTCCATCGGTAGGAGAGGCGACCGTTGCATGCACTTGTTAGCATGGCGTATATGTAGACTTGGGGATTCAAACCAACGTCAGTAATGGTACCACTTAGCTATTTGGGTTCTTAAGCGAGACCCCTTCCCCTAGTGATCAGTCAGAATAGATAGATTTTGTTCGGCTATCAAAATTATTGTGTTCATCAATACTGTCATCAGGTAGGCCAGAGAATTTAAAAGCCTTAACCAGGAGTCAAATATCGCATAGTATATTTTTGCTTGAAATATTAAAAGGTTGATAAGAACTCTTAGAAGTAGAATACTCTTGCAGAAATTTTATCCGCGGATATAGATGCAATAGTTAAAAAAAGTTTGAAATCTCTGAACAGCTGTGTCGTCCTACTTTGGGATTCTTTAGCACTGTACACCTGTGACCCTACGCCTTGAGAATAGGGACCAATACTTCCAGTTTACAAGTTATGCTCCCTGATGACTCAGCAAATGGGATGAAACCTAATAATCCACCAATGAATTCTAACTTGTGTCATCTCTTGGCTTTTAATACCAGTCAACATCCTAACACCTGACCTGGTCGACTCGGAAAAGTTAAACTTTAAGCACCACTAACTACCAATCAGTAAACGACCTTCAACGGACCAATCACATGAAAGAGAGATTTTTGATAACGGAAAACGTACATTTATGAAAAAAAAAAAGCATAAAACTGCATAAAACTCTTACATAGGGTATCTTTCTCTAACATGTGACAGAAACATCTCCCAGTTTAGCAGAGGAGTGTCAATCAAAAATTCACACCACATCCTGTACATATAGTGATCCAAACGACTATAAATGAGATCTTTTTGAGATCTGTTTATAGCCCTAATCCTATTTTTCAACCTTCGCCAAAATCCTTCTATAGAATTTGTGTGTGTCCCTGTAATTGGATCCGCAAAATCACTAGAATGGTTCTCTCTGTGATGAATATATCCAAGAGATGACAGCGGGTTGTAACCTTTCCATTCATCCGGATGTATTATTGATCCCTGTTTCACAAGTCTAGTAATAATAGTTATTGAAGTGGTTGACTTTCTATCTGGTGTTCTCTCCATGAATCCTTTCCTCAGGATGGTGTCATATAAACCGATCACTCAAACATTTTTGGCTCGCTCACGACCACGGTAGTATTTTTTCTTTATTAACACAGTTACGTTCACGTGCACGACGATGCCTTCTCCGCCCAACAACGAAGTAATTCTCTACATTTTCCGTGATCCAATGTTTCTGCAGTGCTGGTGTAACAACAGAAGACAAGGGCCAGGCAACAGATCGTTTTATTACGAAAATCAACACGTATTTATACAAATTTCACATGCATTATTATAGCCTAGTCAAGTAGACAAATGCAGTCTTCTGATTGGTTGTTTTCGAGTTCCTCGGAAAGTGGAGCCATCTATCTGCGAATCATATTTGCCCACGTTTAAGTTTGCTGTGATTGATTGTTGAAACAGCCTTGTTCATATTTTCTCACGGCCCATATTAGTGACCGAGACAATGACGTAGATTAACGTCAACCAACTGGCTAGCAGGCTGCTCTTACCACACTGGTACCACTTAACTGTTGACACGGAGCTATTTTCGGTTTCACCAGCTGCGCCTTTCACAGACTGTTTTAAAACCCAGTAGTTGCAAATATACAAAATCTGGGTTAGGGAGAGATGTGACCTAGTAAAAAATATTCCTACGAGATATTAAAATTATCAGCTTATCTTCTCTAATCCTAACTCGTCTCAAACAAATTGCACAGCGGTGGATGTATATATCAACCGACCTGCTAAAGCTTTTTAAACTCATGACACCACCACATGAACAAATCTTCTCCTTCCCAACCAACTCCAAATCCAAGCAATAATGCAAAACACTATCCTCCTCGAATTCCAAGCGTAACTTCGTTAGAGAATGCATTTAAAAATAATCAAGCGCTATACAACCTTGAACTCACCTGCATGAACCTCATTGGACCACTCAAGGTCGTTTGTTGATTGGTAGTTAGTGGTGCTTAAAGTTTAACTTAGCCTTCGATCCCACTTCACACTAGAAATACAGACAACTTCGCTGTACAAACTAACACTCGGAAATAATTCTGATACTTACTAGTGACTGACAACGAGGTGGGGTTCCCGAAGCTGTAATGAGATATCGTGACCAGTGGGGTAAACGAAGGAGAATGTGTGGACAAATACTCTATGGACTATTAGATTATGTCTCAGGTACTCAATGGTCAACAAGGTCACTTCGTAGCCTGGAGGCATAGGTGACTACTTCTGGAGTACCTCAAACTAGGAAGAAACAGTTGTACTCTACTCCCTGGTTTTCAATGGTTTTCTAATTGGTAGGGATATGCGAGCAAACTCAAAATCAACTAAATCCCTACAAAATGAAATTTTAAAGATTAAAGTACAAACAACAACAGAATAGAACATTTGGTAGTTAAGCTAAAGGAAAAAAGTCAAGTTTGATCCCGGGTGGAGAGAACTGACTTAAAACCAGCAGGGAGTGCTGGACAGTTGTTTCGTCCTAGTTTGGTGCTCTTCAGCAGTGCTCTGCTATGATCCCAACCACCAGGGATAGTATTCAGGACTTTCAGTTTACAAGGCGAGTTCAGTTATTCAGTCACTGGTAAGAAACCCAATGAATGGCACCGCCAGGCAATGTTGTCGGCGATTATTTATTCTCACAAATGATTCGGTGGACCTCATTGGTGATGAATTGTCACTAGAACTGCAGACGAATTCGTCCTACAAACTAATACTTGAAGATTAGTCTGATAGCAATGACACTTAGTGGTGTACGTCAGGGATGCCAACTATCCCCATTTCTATTCAGTTTCATCACAAATGTACTGATGGAATTAAGCCTAACTCACTTCAGAGATTCAGGGATTGACTTGCTATCAGGGAATAATCTTGTTGACTTAGAGTATGCAGATGATATAGTCTTCCTTCCTAGGTGAGGAAGACGCTGACCGAATGCAGAGTCTTCTGAACACCTTCAGCTCCAATCTACCAATGTTTGGCATTCCATTGTCTCCGCCAAATGTAAGATGACGATGCTACAGGACTGGACTGGACTGGAGTGGACTACATTGGCTCATTCCTAGCTTAGAAATAGGCAGTGAAAAGGTTGGAAGAGTATGTTGACCACTTCACTTATTTGGAAAGAAGCTGCACCAGGAGCTGCCAATGAGTTGATGGCTGACAAAATCTTAGCATGGATACAAAAGACTCGTTTCGCATATGCCAGTTTATTCCGTCTCTGGCGTAGACGTGATATCCGGCTGGCTGGCTATCGACCAAAGAACGTGTATACTGCCCATCAGTCTGCTCCGTCCTCCTTTATGGCTGTGAGTGAGACCTGGCCATTGAGAGTGAAAGACATGAAAAGGTCGGCTAGCTGTGTTTAATCACAGGTGCCTACATTCTATCTCCCGTGTCAGCTGGTGGTATAATAGGGTGAGCAATATCGAGGTTAGGCATCGGTCGAGTGCTAGGTAAGTTGGAGGGGAAAATGAATCGACGAGGCTGTGAAGTTACATAGATTGAGATGGTTAGGATATGTGTCACGCATACCTAGCCATAGCCCTCTACGAGTGATGACCAATGTTAACTGACATAGGGTCAGTTTAGAAAACAGCTAGCGAGTGGTGGTCAAACTAAAACATGGCTTCATCAGTCAATGAAATCCAAAACAGTTAGTTTAAGCCAGGCAACCACGTAGGAAGGTGTAGACTTCCTGACTGGCTAGTTGGGGTCCTTGGGACAGTAAACATCAATGAAGACTAAAGACAATTAGTGATATGGCTCAAACTCATCGTTCTCGATGGCTGGTACAGATGCATCCACTCCTTGTAACTTATAATTTCCAATGAAACTATATTGTTCTTCGTTATTACTATTTCTTTGCCTCACACCTCTGTTTACTGTCTCTGTTATGCATTAATTCTACTTTCTTCTGTTGCTTTGTGTGGTACAAGGATGGAGTGCGGCAACTCGAAGTGCTGCATATCTGTGCAATATTCTATGTTGGAACCAGTGAGTCAGTCACTCAGCCACTAGGAACTCAGAAGAGGTTGGAGTTCATGCATTTCTAACCAGAAGTGGTGACCGGCGGGTGTCTACCAAGGAGGAGAAGTGATCAACGATGATACTGACCAACGGTTACGCTAAAATTTAGAATGGGTAGAAGTTAGGATTTATGGCCAGGCCACTGAGTTCCATCTCGCTGACAGGATTATCAATGAGTTCGCCTCACAGCCTGAAGGTCTTGGTCTCAATGCTTGGCGAGTGAGGTCATGGTTACGTAATCATGAAGAGGGCCGAGTTAGAATGAAACAGATATCCAGTACCACCTGTCGGTTTTCAGTCAGTTATCTAACTGATATCAATCTATGATTACATTTGAAATGAAAGCAACAAAGTAACACTTGAGAGTGTAAAGTACAAACAAATGAGAATCAAACATTTGGAAGTCAAGTGTAAGAAAATAAATCCATAATTCAACATAAATTAGGTAGACAAAAGTCCTTCATTCCCACAAGAAGTAAACTCATTATGCTTTTGTGTATCGAACAGTAAAAATATGTCAAGGTCAAGAGGATAAATAAACAACTGACCAAGAAAATTATATGCATTTAAAATCTAATAGGGATTCAAGGTCACTGAAAAAAAGAGAAACTTATTTGACACAAATATCATTAGAATATGAAAAAACCGCACTTTGTTTCATTTGATGACGCATCCCCTTAACTTTTGTCAAAGTCTCCATGAAGAGAAAGGGATAAACAGAAATGCCTACAAACTGTGCAGAAGAAACGCATATACATGACTTTGCCGTTTATAGGAGACTCAGCAACTGAATTGATGGCT